TCGCTACCACTAGACGAGGGCAAAGGCTTGTGGGTGGAAGGCGCTGTCGTCGCGGGGGTCTTTGTAACCGTAGGAGGCATTGTCGGTGTCTGCGTCTTCTTATCATCAGTACTTCCCGAGTTTGAGTCACTATGAGAAGCGCTTGTACTGCTTGAAGTGCTCGACTGCTCCGTGACTGAAGGAGCTTCGGTGCTCGGGGCGGTAGTGGCAGGAGCCGGTGGCGTCGTCGTGGGGCTCTCAGCGCTTCCAGAATTTGAATTCTCATGAGATTCTTTACTTCCACTTGAACTCTTATGCTGCTCGGTCGGGGGAGCCGTCGTTGACGGCGCGAACGTCGGAGGAGTCGTTGGTTCGTTCGTCTGGCCTTCAAAGCTTCCAGAGCGTGAGTTCTGGCCAATCGGTTGAGAACCACTTGATGAGGTCACCTGCTCAGTTGGGGGAGCTGTCGTCTCGGGAGGCATCGTCGGGTGCTGCGTCGTGTCCTGATCACTGGAGTTCGAGGACTCTTTAGAAGCTTGAGTTTCGTTGTTGCCACTTGCAGAGGATGACCCCTGCTGAGAACTGTGGCTTCCCTTCGGTTCCTCCGTGGGTGGGGCCGTCGTTAAGGGGGGACTAGTCGGAGGATTCGTTGGCGCCTCCGTCTCTTCATTATCAGCGCTTCCGGGCTTCGAGTGCTGGGAAACTTCACTTCCGCTCGATTCCTGAGAGTCATCGTGGTGACTTGATGAGCCTGGTAGCTCGGTTGGTGGAGCTGTTGTAGGAGCAAAAGTGGGAGGGATCGTTGGCACCTCAGTCGATTCACTATCACCGCTTCCAGGGTTTGAATTCTGCTGTTTAGCTTCGCTTCCACTAGCAGTGGTCGAGTCCTGCGTGGTCTGAGAGCCATCCGGGCTACTTGACGAGCCAGAGTGCTGGTCAACGGGTGGAGCCGTCGTTGGAGGAGCAAAAGTCGGTGGAATCGTTGGCAACTGAGTCTCAACGTGTCCAGAGCTTGAGGAATCTCCGTTACCACTCTTCGATGTAGAAGCCTGTTGCGTCTGCCCGTTGCTACCACTTGAAGAGCTCGCGTGTGACTCGATCGGAGGAGACGTAGTCGACGGCGCAAACGTCTCCGGCGCCAAGGTCACAGGCGGCGTAGGCGAAGGCGTCTCCATACCTTCCGCACTTCCAGCGACCGAAGTTCCGTGCTGAGCAGCGTCACTACCGCTTGATGAGTGCGGGGGCTGCGTGGTTGAAGGAGCTTCCGTCGCAGGGGGCGTCGTGGAGGGGACAGGTGTAAATGGAGCAGGTGTCGCTGTCGGCACCATCGTAGGTGCCGGGGTTTCGTCCGAGTCGCTTCCGACAACGCTCGAGTTGGCAGAACTGTAGCTACCTGTGGTGTCTCCCTGGTAGTTTTGGTTGGGGTTGGACGCAGCCAACGTGGCTGCGGTGGCGAGTAACACGAACGCCGCGTACGACTTCATGCTCTCGTTCTTCAGCTATGGCGATACGCTCGTTCGGGTAGAAAATTCCTGACTGAGCCACATAGTTTACTGTTTGTGTGGTGGCCTGGCCGCCGTGGCCACATGGGTTCCAGCATCCCGTGCTTTGCATCACAACTGCTGTTCCTTTACGTCACGTGGACAGTTTTAGTGAACTCCACACTCTATCCTCCGCTTTTCAATCAGGTAGGATAGTCAATTGTTGGTAGCGTTACAGGTGAGTCTTATCGTACCGCGACAACATACTGTGTTCATGTATGTTCTCCATTTAGCGAAATCTACGGTTGCATGCGCAAGGCTTCTTTCGCGGCGAGCTCAAACGAATGCACTACCTCAAGTGTTCACTCGATGCGACGACCGTGTTGTGTGCGTTGCGCGCAGCAGCGGTGCCGCGTTCAACATACACTCACAGGTTGGGTTCACTGCGATCGTGATGTCGAGTTGATGAAACTTACCTGGAGTCCAATGAATTCATTTTGGGAAGAATACGTGTATTCAAATGTATAACGATCGTAGGAAGGAAGACGTGTATTCAAATGCATAATGATCGCTACATATCAATACGCATGTTGACAGAGATTTACGTTGCAGTGAATGTACCGTGTGTGGCGGTGGATCCATGCTTTTGTTCTGGCAGTTCCTTCGCTGCCGCGTGGTCGTGGGAGTTAATGACCATACCAACCCCATTGCTGGTGATTTTGGTAGGGGGAACCCCACTGTCCATTCTGGTTGTTTTGGTATGGACTTTGTTGTTGTTCCTGCTGCTCTGGTTGCTCTTGCTGCTGGGTGGGGGAAGCAGTCGTAGCAGCAGGCGTCGGTGAGGAAGACATTGGAGGCGGTGTGGCGACACTAGGTGTCTGCGGTTGCATGGTTGGGGCCTGCGTGGGTGCCATCGTGGGAGATATCGTCACTGGAGTCGGAGTCTGCGTTGGAGTCGTTGTTGGAGCAGACGTGTTGGTCGACGGTGTTGTCGTCGGTGTTGTGGGCACTGATCCACCCGAAGACGAAGGAAACTGGCTGGCACCTTTTGTGCAGGAACCAGCATTCAAGGACAACTTGTCCGTCATGGACGCACCGTTGATGTCGGTCAGTGACACCGTGACGCTCGAAAGATCCGCCACAGCAGTACCTGACCCGTCCAACAGGTAATAGTAAGCGCCGTCCAGCATCTTTGTTGCCTTGCCGTTGATCTTCAGACTCGTGACACCCGTAGCACAGTTGGTTGGCTGCACACCCATCCAGTAGTTGTTGCTGCCTCCTTTCAGGCAATAGTTGACATTACCAGCCACCGGACAGTCCACGAACTTCCACTTGATAGTGTACCGGGACGGGTGGGATCCGGTAAGCGTCTTGAAGACGGACGGCGACAGATCGAGGTCACCATGTTTGCATTCGGGACAACGGTCGAGAATCTGCACCACGACAGACTTCGTCTGGTCAGCGCAGCGTTTGTCGGCGCACGACACCTCAGCGCAGCGGCCGCAGTTCTGTAGACCACTCCACTGCTCGTTGTTCAAAGCGGCGTAGTCGGTGGTGGCGAAGTTGAGAGCCGACATCATGTTACAGTTTCCGGAGCTGGTGTCGCCGAGCGTGTAGGCGGTACCATCTCCAGTGAAGTATTCGTCGGCATTGGCGAGTGCAAGTGCAGTTGCAGTGGAAAGGAGGGCGACGGACGATGACAGCTTCATGGTGACTAGATACCCAATTGGTATGGGAGGGTGGACAGTGTAGTCGATGGAAGCCAAAACTCAAAATGGACAATGGTCGAGGAATAGTTTTCCTCTCGCGTTGACCGCCATGACGTCGTAACTATGAAGGAATCACGAAGCGAAAGCTGATAAAAGGTAACGGGGATCCCGACCGATTCGGGGTGCTCGCGCGCGTTATGACCAACGAGCCGGAGGCTATCTCGGACAACCCCAAGGAAGTCAACTTAATTACTTGACGAAGAAGTGAGGCTGTCCAATAACGAGTGGCACAAGCTTCGTTGACGACAACGCCAGCGTTAAGTTGTCAAGGTCCGAGTGAGCAACTCCTGCCGGACACGATCGCAATTAATTCAAAGGAAAATAATTTGTTTGTTGGTTTGTTTCGAAGTGTTCTAGCGCCAACGACTGTAAATTCATGTGTACGAACCGGTGTTCAGTTCGTAATCTGAAGGCTTCATCGTTTTCATGGTACATGTGTATATGATGCTTATCAAATGACGGGGAATGTTCACATAAAATCTCTTTCGGGACGACGATTTGTAGTCGAGTGCTCATTCGATTCAACGACGCGGTGACCACAACGAAAACGCGCGAAGCACATCAAGAAAGAACGGGTGGTGTTTGGTTTCGTGGGTTCGAGCGGAGGATCACATAGCCATATCGCAGCCCAATTTAAAATGCATTGAAGTGCAATCAAGCAGCGATTTCAGCGCCCTCCTGATAAGGTATTCAAGACGGCCGAACCACATATATTTCATTATTTTTCATATATATCCTGTCGACACCCCAAAGCCCAGAAAAAAAGTTTTATAAAGATGACAGAGTATCCGTAATGCCCTTTGTCAGTTCTTTTTTTAGAAACTCTTCTTGCCGATTTTCTGGTTACTTGATCACAATAAATTCATCATCAATTTATGAAGACCCTGTGCAAGATAATAGTCCTGACTACCTCCATGAATGAATAAACAGTAATCAATTTATTATCACGACCTCAAAACAATCCATGGTTGAACTGCGTATCAGTCAGATGCTCACTAGTGGCCAGAGCGCTCTCTCTCGACCGGCTCAGTTGCTCTCTACCCCGCAGAATGTCGAGCTCTTCATCCTCGTCCTCCTCGAATGAAGTGAGCGCTGGTGGCGTCGTGACGGCCAGCGACTGCGCCTGGGAGCAGGTGACGGACAGTGATTCGTGCTACGTCCAGCCTCGTTCCTGTTACGACTGCCTCAACACACCTCTGAGCAATGGCCAGGTACGTCCGTGATTTATTATGGTATCAGTTAGGGAATCTTGGAAGTATCTAAAAATACTTACCTCTATTTAGGAATGCGTCCTGACACCGTTTGGACTGTGTGAGAACATTTCTGCCTATAACTACACAGAGGACTATCGACGTCCACAGTCTGCCTTCACATACCCAATTCATTACAATTACTTCCCAGAGGTGAACACAACATACTGCGAACCCAATGATTCCGTCTGCAATTCCTGTCAAGAAACAACGTTCACAGTCGGGAATAACAACCCGTCAGTGTATTGCACGGGCACCAATGACTGCGTCTGTATAGCAATTTGTGAGTCGGAGTCCTGGTGGAATGATACATTGGCAAGACTCGCAGCTCTGCTAAAGGAGAATGACCAGAGCACAACTTGTCCATTAGCTGCCAATTCGTCGTCAGCATTGGCTGCAGACACTTCGGCTTCCAGTAATTTAACAAAACCAGTTACCAAAGATACGTACGCGGCCGATGACGAGTGTATGTGGTACCAGAACTCGACCTTGTGTGAGACTCCACGGACCTGTTACGATTGTCTGAACACGGCACTTTACAGTGGACAGAAGTGCACTATCACACCGGGAGGATACTGCTCGAAGATCGATGAATACGACTACACACTGGACTACCGACGGGTGTATTCGGACAGCGCGGCGCATTATTTTCCATCGACCAATACGACCTACTGTGAACTGGACGACGCCACGTGCACGAAATGCCGCTCTGACAAGCTTCTTGGAGCTTATTCGGGCAAGACGAATCTGACTGAGTATTGTGTTGGTGAAAACGACTGCGTTTGTGTGGCCTTTTGTGAGTCACCGCAATGGAAGTCGATTGTGGTGCAGGACACGTGTGAAGCTACACCAGCAGTAGACGACAGTGGTTCCAGTATTCCATCGATTGCTATCGCGTCGGTTATAATGGTGGGCATGTTGCTGGGCTTAACTGCTATTTTACAGCTCTGCAACATTTTCCGCGCTCGTCGTAAGTATCTGTAGCATTTTATATATTTTTTTGTAATTGTACTGACATTCCAATACAGGAAGGGAAGTTCGTTGGCAAAACATGTTGACGCAAAGTATTGCAGTGCGGCGACCTACCACGGGACTTACATTGGAACTGTCAGCGTGGAAGGAAATGCACGACGGACTCATTGCAGACGAACGCAACGTCGGCAACGCAGGGCATCGTCTCGCTGACGCATCAAACGATGCTCCAATGGTTACAGTGGAGGAAGGTGATGGCTACCGTCCTATGTCTCCCAGCGTGCCGGTGCTTCCTGCTTCGCCACCGTCACCAACCCAACCATTATCAACTTTAATACCCTCTCGGACTCAACGTGCATCCGTTTAACGGCATCAATACAAGTGAATAATATAGTAGAAATCACGTTTGTTTTGCACATTGATCACATCCATTTGTACAAATACCACCACAAAACTAGGTATCAACTACATCGGTCTCAATCGGCCACGTCCTTCACCCACCGGATCTACGTTCTTGTCTATCAGTTCTTCACGCATAGCTTTCCATGCCGGTAGTTCCAAAGACAGTGTCGACCTTCTCGTTTCGGATCTCCTTAGACGCGTAGATTCTCTTCTTCTAGCTCGAATTTTCTGTCGCACTCGCCAAACTCCCAGTATCACCGCCAGAATGGCCACCACAGCCAAACTGAGGTAGATAACAAAGGTTTTCCACGGGAACTCGGTGCCGTACATATTCTGTGTAGAAGACGACGTGGAGGCCGCACATTTCTCCGATACGACAGTCTCCTGCCACTCAGCAGACTGACAGAACGCCACGCAGATGCACCCGGCACTCCCAACACAGTACGACACTGAGTTACTGGCTGAGCCAGCGATACCGAAGTTAGAACAGGCGGCGTCGTTAGGCTCGCAGTACGTCGTATTCGTCGACGGATAATAGTATCCGTTAGCTACTCCGCTGCTGCTTGGACTCCTGAAATCCAACGTGTAGTTGTAGCTGGTCGATAGTGAAGCGCAGTATCCGTCCGGTGTGATAGTACAAGCGTCTCCGTTATCAGCGACTGTGTTCAAACAGTCGTAACATGTCCGTGGAGTACTACACAGCGTCGTGTTCTGATACCACGTGCACTTGTCGTCACTCGATAACGTATCTTTGCTTGAAGATACAGTCGAAGAAGAAGTATCTTCGGAAGTTAGCGCACTCCCATTGGTACCAGCGTCGACTGTATCTGTTGCAAAGGTGCAGCCTTCCGGTGTATCTCCTTCCACCGCGAGTACGATTAAAGGCAGTCGCTGACGCGCATAACTCAACCAAGTGGAAGACTCGCAGTTATTTAGTAGTACGCAGTCTTCATCGCTTGACGAGTTGCTGGCGTCACAGTACGTGACGTTCCCAGCCAAATAGTACTCGCCGTCGTGACTCTCAAGTGTGTTGTATTCCGAGATGTTCATACAGATACCAGAATCTGTAAGAACACACGTCTGCCAGCATAACACAAGCGTTGATTAGCTTAGAGGTGCAACCGAAAGATCTCTTGCAATACCTACATCTCCTGTAGAGGGGATCTCCTCTAGACATTCACTGCACGTCCGAGGCTCTAGGAAACACTCGCCGTCTAGTGACACCGTCGTCTTCCAGCTGCAGCTAGAGGCGCTGACTGTTTCGGTAGCCGACGAGCCTGCAGCCGATGCGTTGGTGGTTTGATTTGTCATTTACGGAGACTTTCCAGCAATGAAGAGTAGCCAACCACGTTGGTATCAACCTTCTGCGGATTATGAACGAGCGGACCTGACTAAACGTTACGGCTTCGCACTGTCAGTACAAGTGCGACGCTCTAGTCTAGAATCTAGACGATGAGCACAGCCGATGATGCCTGAGGCCACTGCCATAAACGCAAATCCCTTTCGGAGACCTTGACTGCTTCAACCACAGAAGCGGTGATTGACCCCGACAACGATGTATAATGCAACAGTACAAGTGAGCTCCTCATTGTTGCATTGAAGGCGGGCGGTTGACGCATGGGTGACACTCTCGTGACGACACTTGTTGAAAGTATCAAGTCAAGACTCAAGCTGAACAGCTCGTCTCGAACTCGTCAGGCTTTCAAGACGGATGATACATGTGCATAACAGTCACAGCTTATTCAAGTTTAGCCCGAAGATGCACCGCCTTCGAATGAGAAGAGAAGACGTTGAGGTCGTCGCCCATGCACGGAAACGCTGTCGTCGCAACCGGGAAGCTCAGTTGGACCACGTTGAAGAGTGTCAAGGTCCGAAGTACAGGTGCCTGACCCGCTTCCATTTCAAGGATGACACTCTTTCTCGACCATACAAATGCAATTCTCACACAGCTAAGTACTCATATTAACTTCACTCTTACTGCACTACGCTGTACGATCATCGAGCTGAGCATACGGCGTCGAACGCGCGTCAATCTCCTCGTCGTCGCTGTCCTCTTCGCTCCTAACAATCGCCTGACTCGGTCGTGGTCTTACCACGTTAGTGTTATCAAGACTCGACCGACGTCGACCAGTGCTCGTCACCGCAGTCAACGGGTGTTGCGGGTCCTCGAACTCGATCGAGAGCGTCGCGACCTGCAGATTCGAGAGCGGTGCCGACGGCGCAATGACGTTGTGCACGTCGTTTGCAGCAGTGGCCGCCTCCACTGCAGCGGTGGGGGTCGTTACCTCATCATCCTTAGCTATCCCTACAATCGCTGCCTGAGTCGCCGCAAGATCGGCACAGTATTTCTTCCAGCCCACGAGAGGCAGTAGCGGGCCGTTCACAGGCTGTCGGTTGCGATAGGCTTCCTCCCGTGCCTGCCGACGCTTGTGGAGGCGACGTACCCACCACAAATACGCGATCACGGGAATGGTAAAGCACAGGATGACGATGGTGACGATGTCGCCCACCGAGACGCCCATGACGCTCACACTCGGCGTGGAGCTCAGCGTCGCGCAGTACGCGTTCGATACTTTGGCTGCGTATACTGGTGACTCGCAGTAGCCCACGCACACGCAGCCATTCGTCCCCACGCAGTACTGGGATGGCTCTACCGAGCCTGATGCAGACTTGATGAACTGATTCGCCGCGCATTCGACGCACACGGCGTCGCTGCTCTCGCAGTAGGTTGTGTTGGTAGAAGGGAAGTAGTGTGGAGCGGTGTCGCTGTTGTTGAGGCGGTAGTCTTCTTGCCATACGTAGTCTGACATGGTAGTGCACAACCCCGCACTGGTGATGACACACTCGACGCCGTCGAAGGGAGACGAATTCAGACAATCGTAGCAGGACCGAGGCGAGTCGCACGCGTCCGAACTCTGCTGCTTCCACATACAAACATTCTCGCTGGCTTTGGTGTAGACAGCGGAGGCAGTCGCTGATGGCGTGGGGACGGAGATTTCTTCACTTGAAGAGGACGACGAAGAGATTGACGCCATTATCCATCAGGTGGCAACTCTGGCTATTGATGCAAAAGAGATTCTGAAGTATCTGGCCAGACTCAGATTATGGTGGCGCGACGTGTACAGATCGAGTCGTTACATGAATCAAGTTTTTACAAATTTCAAGTGAGTTGAAGCATCTTTGCTATTGTCACCGGACTGCTCGACGGCTGTTGCTTGCAACCAATCAAATTCAAGTATTATTCTCAGAGATGATTGGCGAAAAGTTAAACGCTGACTTCAACGACGTTGGCGCCAAAATGATTGATGCGGCTTCAAGTTCCGCTATCCATGCGATGCGTGTAGCTCGGACTGAAGTGTAGACCTGTTTTGTGGATTGAAATGGAAGCTGGAATACAATTGGCTGGCAATCAGCCTTCAAATTCGGGTGGTGTACACAACTAATGTGGCAGCCACCAATTTATTTTTCTCTGCTATTTATTTATTTTGTTGATGTGTGTGTGGAAAGGCTTAGAATATAATAACTAGAAAGTTGTTTTTTTGCGCATAAAAAAACTGGCACTGATTTAGGACACCACCGCACGCATGTCTAATATGCAAGGTATGTTGAAGTGGAAGGCTGTAAGAAAGGTTCGAGAATGCATGTTACGAGGCTGAATTTGACTTGATCTGATTATTCTAATGGAACGTAAACTTATTGTGTGGATAGGTGAGCACTACCCAATCGTCACGCACTAGTCCGCGAGAGAAGGTGTTGTATTTTCTATGATCGACAGAATTGCAACGTATCCCTGGGATTTACTATTCACGACTAAAAAAAGTAGCTTATTTTTTGCTTAGTTTACAAGACAAGACAGGAAGGCATGCAGTTTACATCTCATTGTGTCTTTTGGAATGGCCAAAAGACGAGCGTGCAGATAATACTACAGAAAATAACATTAAGTTTAAATAAATATATTGATATTAAAGCCAAGTAAATAATACGCTGTTTGCAGATAATAACTTTCATAAGAACAAACATTTAAAAATGTTCTTTTGATCGTACCCAGCAACAGCAAACACTTGCTTCCTAGCATCTCTCTATGCGTGAGTAATCCGATGACTAGAAAGTGGAGTCACACTCGACAATATATGTAGTATCGCCGTCTATTCAATTTTCAATTTATCTGAGAACAATGGTTATCGATGTCGTCTCTAGTTCGCTTCATTATGTCTGTTTCCGCTGTGATTTCGTGTATCCTAGTAGGAAAGCAAGAGACACAAATATCGGAAAATGCTGGGCGACCTGCTCACTCACCCCGTCTTTGATTTTGAGTGACTGAGTCAACAACGCAACTTGCAAAGCTACTGTAGAATTCACAAGACAACCAAGATGATCCCTGGTCCTCTCTCAACCTGTCTGACATCGTCTAGTGGTCTGCACGTAGAGTTTTCATAATCCGGTGCAGCAACGCTTCTTGCATCCGGGATTAACTAGCTCAGTCCGCGAGTCAGCGAAATCTTTTCTATGCATCATTGACCACATACACGGCCCGGTGCTGCACAGCGACTTATCTAGGAATTTGTAAGGTCGCGCCCCACCTGCGTCATCCTGTTCCGCTCGACACATCAAGTGACACCGGAGCGGTTCGGGGCTCAAGTAGACCAAGACCAGCCACGACAGGTTAGACACCACCGCCACTGCTTCCATCGTGCCACCAGATACCGTCCTCCCAGTCGCACGTGGCTGCTTCAGTCTCCAATTCCCCGACAGCTACGCGGAGCTCTTCGTTTTCTTATTCGCGACTAAGCAGATGGACTCTTCGGCCTCCACGAGCGGCTCCAGCGCTGTCGACGTCAACAACACCAGCAACAGCGTCGACTCGGTCGCTGGCGTTATTACCGGCGACTCGGACAAGTCTGTGAGCTCGAACACTGGCGACTCGTGCACGTGGTACGATGACGGCGAGTGCACGCGGCCGCGCACGTGCTCCGACTGTCTGAACGTGCTGTTATCGACGGACTCGTGCGCTGTGGACCCGCACGGCGTCTGTGTGAGTATGAGCGACTACGCGAGCTACCTGGCCAACCGATACTACTACACGCCACTGCAGCGGTACTTCCCAGCTAGCGAGTACACGTACTGCAGCGCGAACGACTCGGTCTGCGCCACGTGCAACGAGCAATGGAACGCTAACTTTGCCAGTACAGGAAGTGCCGGTATGTCTTCGTATTGTACGGGCACAGACGGCTGCGTTTGCATTGCAGACTGTGAGATTCCGGACTGGCAGGACTCAGTAATCAACGACCAATGCACTGCAGACGGCAGTGGATCGGGAGCGGACTCTGGTTCGTCCATGGCGACACGAATCACAGTGTCGATCTTTGTGGGCGTCGCGGTGGCGGTATTCCTCGCCTTCGCGACGTGGGGAGTGCGTCGATTCGTTAACCGTAGGCAAAATGGACTGGAAGGTAAGAGTGTTGCAATGCTGCGTTGTGTGGAGGTGAGAGGCTGACTGAATTTGATGCTGCAGTTATTTACCGCGAAACACGCACGAGACCGCGACCGCCTCCGAAGGGACCGCAGCTTTCGTTGTCAGGATGGAAGTCGCTGCGGCAGAACCTCATCGACTCTGAGCACGGATTTATTGGTACCAGCGAAGCCGTGACACTGCAGCGCAATGCTCAGGGGTCTTTCGCACCAGCTACGACTGAGAATACTCCGGAGATTGTAGTTGAACAAGGCGAGGGATTCCGTCCAGCGTCGCCTGGAGAACTTGAACAACACACACAGGAAACGACGCAACAAGAGAGAACGGCACTATAAAACTATTGACAACCCACGGTTTTAGTAGTAATAACGACGGCGAGGGTATTAGCTATCAGCGTGGAGTCTTCACTGTCGCCATCTAAGGGTAAAATGTAATTATGATCACTTGTACTTCTCGTGTGTTTGCTTTCCTAGTTCAGGACTACCACACAGTTCCAAGACAGATAAGGTCGAGCACAGAACCCCTACAGATGCTGGGCATTTTGCACAAAGTCGTCTGGCTTCTTGCCTCGAAGCAAAGTTTGCTGTGCTCCTCATAAGCATCTGCTGCTTGGCTGAGGTATGGACGGATGGGTATTCATCAAGTACTCAAGAGCACAACAGTACCACCACGTACGCTGACAGATCCCAACTATTCACCATGAACGCGTCCTCCAACTCGACTGCATCCGTGGACGTCGACGTTGGCGAGGATTCCGCAGTCGTGATCAAGAGTATCAGCTCCAACAGCGCCGATTCCTGCACTTGGTATGCTGATGCGAGCTGCAAGCGACCGCGAACATGCTACGACTGTCTGAACGTTAAAGTCGCGAGTGGTGAATGTGCTATTATGCCTAACGGAATGTGCGTGAGCTTGGCTGAGTACTCGCACTTCTTCAGCAAGCAACAGGAGCTAGGCATCTTCTACAAGTACTACCCATCCAGCAAGTATACATACTGCAGCGCAGATGACTCGGCGTGTTCGGCATGTACAGGCAATTGGGTGTCTGACTACAGCAGCACAGGCGCCATTGAGACGCCAGCGTATTGTACAGGACTCGACGGATGTCAGTGTCTCGCACGTTGTGAGCTACCCGACTGGTCCACGTCGATCTTGACGGATCAATGCAGTTCAAGCAGTAGCGCAAGCGTGAACAGTCAGACGTCGCCTTTGACACGAATCGGCTTTGCGCTTGCAGTAGGCATCGTCTTTGGCGTGTTACTTGGGCTCTGGGGCATCAGGTTATTGTTAAAACGTCGTGAAATTGGTCGTGGGCGAGGATCTTCCATTCCTAGTAAGTGGCGTCAACTGGAACGTCATAGTAGTTGGCAGCTACTAAGTTTGTTGTGTCTGTAGCTGTTCGAGAAACGTGGACTGTGCCTCGACGGCCTAGAACTGGACCTCAGCTAGCGTTGACTGGGTGGATGGAGCTTCGCGAGAAGTTGATCGCGATTGAGAAGGAAGTGTATGGAGGAGCGGAAGTGGGGCAAAGTCGCAGCGAAAACTCGACTGCTGTGGATGTTCCGGATGCGGCGATGGAGGAAGGAAGCGCATATTATCCTGTCTCACCAACTCAGAGACGGCCTCGCGACGCGGGTCGATCGCACTAAGCAGCAGTCCCGCGGCTACAGAAATGCCGCTTCAAGACGTTCACATGGATGAAACTGCGTTTAAACGTTTTAACACTTACGGATTTATCACTTCGGCGAGCTTGAACGTCTTGCATCTGGCGCTGAACATGGAGAAGAGAACTGTTACGATTAGTACCGAGATGGTTTGAGAGAGTTCTGTTGAAGTGAGACCTTCTTTCACCCAAATGGCAGCGTAGCGAAATCATGGAGGTCTTGCAGCGTTCGTAGTCAGGTCACTTGGTGCCATCGAAATGACTCACGACTGTCTACGATTGTCTACAAAGAACTCCAAATGCTGGAGTGTACCTACAGTAAAAACTTCGTAAGCAAATGCAGCACAGTGCTGCATTTAATGCAAACAAGTGTTTCTCTTTGGAAAGCCTCTCTGGATACAGCGCAACAAGGTGGTGCACCACGAGGCCACAATAACGGTGGAAAGCTTGGTTGTTGGGCTGTGAGGAACGCTGAGCTGGCAACTACGAGCGCTAGCAAAAAGGGAAAGAGCGCCATCTTCATGCAAAACTACAGGGCATGTACCTGCAGCTTTCCATTAGTCAACTGGAGCAGCCTGCGAAAGAGTCATCCGGACCAAGGAGGAGCTTACGGAAGTCACCGAGATCTACTGAACAGTCGGCATTTATCAAAAGGTTTATGACATTTCAGACATCTTGTAACTTAGCGTAATAGACTTGACTCTCTCTCTCTCTCTTTATAAAGCCTCAGCTATGCACTGGATGAGATGAACCAGTCGCTTTAAGTATGGGATGAACAGCGAGTTCACCTCTTCGTTTTGTGTGGATGAACATGGTGTCGTATTAACTCTAATAATTGTGATTTAACAGAAGAATAAAGTTGATTAAAAAAATATGTCGCGCGGTTTTGCAACCTGAACGTGTGTAGACAAGCATCCAATCGCGCTTTATGAAGGTTTGGTTGCTTACTGAAGTGCAGTGAAAAGTAAATCACTTGACTTCAGTAAGTATTTCGAAGTTGTTACCAACCAAAACTTCACGTACCGAGATTGGATGTCATGCTAGAGGCGCAAAGTCGCAGCACAATAAAACAAGTGCCAACGCTTTAGTGCAATGGCCATGCATCACCCATTCCAGCGGTTGCATGACGCTCAAAGCAGAATTTGCAGCTTCAGACACAAATGACGTCGCAATCCACCAGCGCCGAATCGGCGAACGTGACCAAAACGACGAGTTCCAATACCGGCGACTCATGCACATGGTACGCCGGTGAAAATTGCTCACAGCCTCGGACCGGCTACGACTGTCTCAATGTATTGCTGGACACGGACGAGTGCGCCATCGCCCCCAACGGCGCCTGCGTCAGCATGTCCGACTACGAGAAATATCTGTCGAACCGAGAGTACTACGAGCCGCTAGCACGGTACTTCCCGGCATCCAACTACACATACTGCAGCTCCAACGACTCTGTCTGCTCGAGTTGCATTGCTGAGTGGACATAAATTACGAGGCGACGGGGAGTGTTGGCTCTACGAAATACTGCACCGGATCGGACGGGTGTGTTTGCGTTGCAGCTGTCGAAGTACCGAGTTGGAAGCAAGCCGTGATATCGAACCAGTGCGAGGGATCCAGTGACAGTGACAGTATGAACACTTCTCAAGAGTTTTCGTCGACCACGCAAATTTGCCTCATTCTGGGAATCTGTTTCGGGGCACTCATGCTTTTCTTGGTCTTTTTGGTGCGGAGATGGTTTCGGTCCACCGTGTCCAGGAGTTCCAGTAAGTTTTGCATACTATTCATTGAAAGGATAAGAAAACTTGATTTAACCATGCCGTATCTCTTACAGGATCATCGCGCCACCATCCGTCGGGACCTCAGCTTAAGTTGACTGGTTGGAAGTCGCTTCGCGAGAAGCTCATTGAGACTGAACACAGCTTTGTCCAGGGCGAGACGAGACTCGTTGCAACAGCTAGAAGTGATGAATCACTGTCAGAAGTGCCTTCTATCACCATCGAGGTGAGTCCTGCCCCGCGGAGGCCAGAATCTCTTCCTCCAGCCGAAGCGCAGTACATGATGGCACCCATGTAGGCGCGACTATATATATTTTTTATGAAAGGCATTTTATAGAAGAAGACCGGACTAGCGAAAAGAAGCACTTCCACTCAAGTTGAAGCCGTTCTCACACGTCACAGACTGTACCTACAACCTTTTTCTAAAGTGGGAGCGATATTGAAGTTGGCATCACGTCAGAAAGAAGATGCGTAATGCTGTACCACCAACGTTTTCATCGAAGAAAGAGTCTCATTTAGCACCCATGGCTTCCTCCAACAGCTCCAGCCTCGGAGCGGAGATGACAGCACCCGACAATGTCACTACCAGTGGTGACTCGTGTACTTGGTACGCGGGTGAGAGTTGCGAGAAGTCACGCACTTGCTACGACTGCCTCAACGTCGGTATCGTCGGAGATTCGGTACGACGAGTACAGAGTACCCATATTATTCCTAATTATATTTTTTTCTTATTTATTTATTTTGTAGTGTGCTGTTGGGGTTTTTGGCCAATGTTTGAGTATTTCAGAGCAAATAACAGGTGAAACGTACTATTTGGCATCCAGTACGGCGTATTGCAAGCCTTCGGATGAAATCTGCACTACTTGTCGCTATCAATGGCTGGAGGACTATGCTGCAAGTAGAGCAGTCACATCTTCGCTTTGTTTCGGGGAGAACGGGTGCATCTGCTTAGCAGTTTGTGAACGGGAGACGAGAAATTCGCTGGTGATCCACAACCAATGTCCGTCATTCGAGAGGGCCAAAGTCGGTAGTATTATGCTGATCATCGGTATGGGGGTGGCGTCGATTATCGTCTTCTCAATGTTCACCTACTGTATCAAAAAGCTGCTCAAACGGGCATTACCTTGTGCGTAGTCTCTGTCTGAAGGTTGTGGTCTGTACTTACTTTTTTTTAATTAATTATTATTTTATGTGTACAGGGTTGGAGCAAGCTCCGCCGAATCAGTCGATGCTGTCCCAAAGACATTACCTCGTGGTCCACAACTAGATCTCTCTGGATGGAAATCCATGCGGGAGAAGCTGATTGAGACGGAGAAAGGAAAAGGAACGCCGAGTGCTGGATCAGCAGGAGTTATGCGGATTCAGCTATCGACGAGGGAGGACACATCTGTGATTATTGAAGAAGGCGAAGGTTATCGTCCTGGCTCACCTAGCGAGCAGTATCATCGCCAAGAAGACGTTTCGCCAGCGCTGACGATGCTGCATTAGTAGTACTCAGTATCTTACAGTATAAAAGAACCGTGATTTTGGCATAGTTTATTATCCCTTGTGAAAGCTACTAGGCTATTGCGCTTGCGATCCCCACCGCGGCAATAAGAGGTAGCTTGGCAACCATTACGTGGTCGTTATTCGTTTAAGAAAGGAGAGTATTAAGAATGTGAATGTAAAAGAAAAGATAAAAGCAGTGTGGGTGTAAATCGGCAAGAAAAGTGCGATAGCTACAATAGTTTTGGTTTGGATTCCAAGGTACATTGGTTGTATGAAAATCATGCACACTACAGTATTAATTTATGAGTTTTGTTAGATAAAAATGTATTATGTTGATATGGATGCAACCAAACGGACATCGAGATATTCACTACAGACTCGCTGTGTACGTTGTCGTAAACCAGATCGAAAATACTTGGACAGTTATTTTTCGTGGAACCATTTGCTTCGTTTCAGGCTGAGTTTCAACTCTATTGGGATCACGCGCGCAGCAACACAGACAAAACTACAGAAAACCAAGTAGAATATCCAGCGCTACTCGTTCTTGCTGATAGAGGTGTCTACGTTGCTTCAGTTGAGAGCAATCCTTTATATAATCATAACTATATGATAGGTTTTGAGTAGAAATGGGTAGAAGTCTTTCATACATTTATGCTAATAGACGGGTGTGAAACTAACGTAGACACCTCTACTTACTGAATGAAGATTTGCCCGAATAACTGGCAATAGTATATTCTTTAAAGGGTTTGCTTATATATAATTACGAGGACAAACAACAAAGATTTAGTTGGTGTACTGCAAAATTCCAGGTCTACGGAGTACACTTCCCGTCGAAGTTTATTCTTACTCTTAGTAGACTGTAATCTCACCACCAATTCGTCGCGATGAGGCAACGTGGATGCATGATGCTTACGTTCGCCATCGCCCAACGCTACCTTCAATTGAAAAGATGAATCATTCATGTATAATAGTTTTTTTCTTGTTTACTTTCTGATTTGTCACGATCAGGTAACATGGGTTCATGGTGCCGAAGTTCGTCTTCATCCAAGACTACCATTATTTAGACATGGATTAGTCGATGAACAATTGTTATTCCATCCAGGCTTCCTCTCCGGGCCACAGTAGACATAATAATAAAATCAATACGACGATTTAGTTGCAGTACCTAAGATACCTTATGACGAATCAAAACATGTGTAATCCATAATAATTTGGACAAGAAATAAATGCTGTCGTTCAAACATTTTTTTTTATTCTTAAATCTTCCACTTATGAATTACATGAATGTTGAATAACCCGCGTAATGCTTGACCCACCATAAACCCAAAGCCCTTTTGTTTTGTTTTGAAATGTGTAGATGCAAAGCATGCGCTGCTATCATTAAGTATGGATAGCATGCATATATGCATTTACGAGTTACTTAGCTTCTTGTTATTACCAGGTTCCTCAAAAATCTTCGCTATCCCTTACGATTTACCTAGCCATGCTTAAACGCATAGCTGCACTTGTATATAATTGAGTAAGCTGGTAATGTCGAGTTTGAACGTGACGTTTCGGTTTATTTACTTTCAAATTCCGTTTCGAGTAAGCTTGGATCGATGTTCTAGTCACCGGTAGATATCTTGGTATAAAAAATAGAGAAAAGCAAGTTTCTACTACGCCACCATGGACAATGTTGGATTATAAAATATATCGATATTGTCGCCCTGAAGTAATAAAGGCGCTTAAATATCAACGTTCTATGCACACCGTAGAGCGAAACTCAAGACACAGTTACTTGAAGTAAGAATCCGCAGACAGATTCAGCCAAACAAGCATAAGCCTCCATTTATAACCTTTGTAACCTATTCTTTGTATTGTCGGGATTATGGCGAATTTAGACTTCAAACCTTATTTAGCTGTAATGGTCTCCTATTTAGAATTTGCATGAGCGTACGTGTGTCGTGTTTAGAAATTGTCTGTCACCAGTAAACTGCGGTCGCTTGGATACCTAAATGTCCTGGTTTGGTGTCCAGCTATAGCGATCAACAAAGCGGTGGCTGACTTTGGATTAATGTTGACTTCAGGAAGCGAAAGGGTATTGTACAGAGGTGTTCGAAGTGATGGAAATAGTTGAGTATACCGCTCAGCAGGTGTAGATCGCGTAGTATTACCAGATCTATTATCCCACACAAAGTGGACGTAAAGTGCGTCCCACCCAACAACTACATAGAACCGAAGCGTGTACTGGTCGGATTGTGAAGGCATGTACGTCCTCGCGCGTGAACAGGCCTTGGTCCGAACAGAAATCCCATCGAGGCTGCTAGTACCCACAGAAACCGCTGTCTCTGCAAAACGCTTCTGAAAATGCTGCAATAGACCACGACAGCAATAAAGAGAGGGTCGTTGACTGTTGAAAATGTAACCTGAGCTGGTGGGTGAAATTGTAGTGCTTCACGAATTTGCTGGAAGCGATCCCGGGCTATTGTCTCGATGAAGGCAGGTTGCCCAAGGAAGCGGTCCTTTGACCAAAAGTCAGTGATCTCATTGACGGGACACAAACTCATCGCAAGTTCGAGTCCAATATATGCATTCAGCTTGCTTTCAGGCAAAGGTTTCTTTCCCCCCAGATTCCAATTTGGCCAAGGTCCACCCACTAATGCTCTGACGTAGTGTGGCAGTAACCAATAGCGCAAATAACCCGTACGACCCTATGCATTCTTGATTCGTGACT